AGCGACAGCTCCGGTAGTGGGGATCAGGTATTCCCGGTCTACACCACCCAAAGTTCAGTCACTCAGCAGCCCATATGGGACCGACCCATCTATCATATTAGCGGTACTCCCCGTCAGCCCACACACCAGCCCCACGTTCCCGAGTCTCAAGAGCCGCCCACTATATATGTGGTATGGGTTGCCATTAATATAGCTTTATTATATCTTATTCACCAATGTGATTTTAAGTAATACTTTTGACTGTCTGTCATATGTTTATGTACAGGTGCGGGAAATACCGAAAACATTCGTGAAGGAGACCGCAAAGCCTAGTCAACCGGTTCAGAAGAGCACCAGCGACCGGACAGTTATGTTAATCGGCGTCATCGCCATCATAGCCATTGTGGTCGTGATTATAGCGCCGATAGTGTTATACTTGAAAGTGTGGCGCCGGACGGACACTGTCTGCAATGCATAGCAAATATGACCACAAATTAATTTTCAATACTTTACACAAAATAACAATTTATATGAAATTTGTATTTATGAATACAGTACTAATTATCGTCCATTTAAATCATCAAATTAATTGAATTTATTTTTTCTCTTAATAATCATGTCTTTTGTCAATAATTTTCTCTCTTTTTTATATGCGATTATTTGGTAACTGAAAAAAAATTCATTGTTTTTTGGGTACAAAACTATGTCAACACACATACGAAGTCATGAAAAAATACAATAATTGTTTGGATATTTATTATGTAATTAATTATACATTTTTCTATTATATAAATTTTTCGAGTAAATGATAGAATAATTTGTATATTTTTAAATAATATTGTTAATTATAATTTTTAAATTATTAATTTTTCTGATTTGAATATACGTACAGTATTAATAATATTTGTAACAATTTTGTCAATAAGAGTAATAATTTGTAAAATAAAAAATTATTTAACAAATTACTCGGAATTTATTTATCAATAACATGATTTTATATTGATGTAAATTAAATATTTGTAAATTAATTTAATGATTCTATAGGAAATCTTTTGCTATTATTATTTAATTCTTATAATTAACTCAACTGACAGAATATCAAGAATATTCTACAAGTGTTTAGATAACTAAGTAACTTATCAATGGCTTACTGTAGTAATTAGTGTCACATTTGCCTCGAGTATATCAATACAATGAGAATTCTGTAATAATATTATTCCGGATTCAATAATCCAAAAGTGGGAATCGGATTACCAGTACAGATAGCATCAGGTATAGTACTGTATACTTCATTTGCAGCACTAGTATCTCAAATATCAATTCAAAAGGACATACACTTGAACTGAATCTAACAAAAGATTACTAGAAATTCTGTATAAACCCAACAGACCTTACGATTCAAAGTAATCTACTTTTCAATGAGTGAATGGAAACGAAATCTAAGGCTTATATTATGTGTCATATTATTCCTAATCCCAGAGGCTATTAGTGTCCGAGAATTCAATGACTGAATAATAAAAAAGTAATTTTTTCTCGGATACGAAAACTATTGATGAGATTTGCCATCAAATTGAGCGCATAGTGTGTGTGACATATCGTAATAGACGTTGAGTTTAACAGTTTGGGCACAGAATTCATAGATTAGTCGATAGATATGTTTAGTGCCAAAGAATATATAGGTTTTGCTCCCAATCTATCACTA